TTTTTCATGCATCCCTTCGTGGTTTGTCATGCATCCCTTCGTGGTTTTTCGTGCGTCCCTTCGTGCAGGGGCCTCTCAGAGGCCTTCCAGGACCCTCCCAGGGCCTCCAAGGGTCGGTCTTCTACAGAGGCCTCCAGAAGCCTCCAAAGGGCCTTCCAGGGCGGATCTGCAGGTGTGTTCAGGAATATGGTTCGAGGGTGGGGTGGGGATTACACGAGAGGGACCGGGGCTTGCGTCGCGTCGTTGTCCGGCTTCGATTTGTTTCAAAATGCGAGGGGCCAGGGCTTGCGTTCACATGGGGTCCAGGGCACGCGCCTGCTTTGTATTAACCGAAATGCAAGGACCAGGACTTGCATTGATATAGGGACCAGGGCTTGCGTTCGGGGTATATGGTTCGAGGGTGGGGTGGGGATTATACAAGAAAAGGCATGCATTGTGTGACAGCTGAGGGGTTAGCCTTGCAAAGCCACCGGGCTCGCTGCATTTCTCAGCGAACGGAACGTTCCCTGAAGCAATCGAATAAGTGCGCTGGGAGAATGGTTCGAAGGTGGGGTGAGGATTATACGAGAGCAATGCTGCGACGCTTGATAGTACTGCATATGCACGTGCTAGATTAATTTGTCACTGAGCTCGCTGCATTTCGGATGGCGAGTTGGGTCCGACCTCAGGTGTAATCAAATATGTTCGACTAAACAGGTTAGAAGGGCATCATGGCACGCATGCTGAGAGCAATTTGTTTTCCAGTACGCACTGCAAATCAGAACGATCAAAGAAACACATCACCCCTCGGTTCGCGAGACTGGTCGCTCATGCGCATGCATTGCTGCACAAAGTAACATCGTTCACCCCTCGGTCTGCGAGGCTGGTGGCTCTCGCATGTGGTAGGGCCAAAGCTACAGCATGTCAGAGCTTCAGGAATTGGAGGAAGGCTCCGGGCCGCTGCTAGACTGACTTCCTGTCGAGGTTGTCGGCATCCAGCTGGAGGAGGTAGTGTCTGGATGCGGCGAGTCTTCGTCTTCGGTGGTTTCCTCAATGTCATCGGGCTCGCTGCTATGGGTGCTCTCGCTCAAACCGGAGACCTCATTTTGCTCGTCGGAGCCCTCGCCTTTCACCGCCCGCCAGTCTGAGCGCCTGATGCGACCCATCAATAACACATCTGCTCGGCGCTTCGCTCTGGACACCCCGACATAGGCGTACCCTCGATCAGATAGCCTTCGGTCGAACCAGAGTCCGACTTTGTCTAGGGTCGCACCCTGCGACCGCCGAATAGTGGTAGCCCAACCGCAGGCTACTGGCAGGAACTTTCGTCCCTGCGAGCTTATGGGGTGGACGAGAATCGGAACTCCTTGGTCGGATTGTAGAAGAAAATATCAGCACGCAGCACTTTTCTTACCGTTGACGAAGCCTCGCTCCCTGTCAACATTGTGCGTCAACCGCATTCTCATCCCCGGAGCTACGGCGACCTTGTCGCTTTCGGTGGGCATGCCTCCGCCTTGCGCCAGAATTGCAGCTGCTTGGGGAAACTCCAACTGCAACCGGGCGAGGTTCAACAGAGCAGCACCCTTGTTCGTCACCGTGAGGAACGTGAAGTTCTTGTCGGAGATGGACTCTATGGCCTTTGCTGTTCTTGCGGCTGCCACGACATCGGACGGCCAGATTCGACCACCGAAGAATGTTTGCAGTTCCTCTCTGGTTGGTTGCCGCACCCGTGTTGCATTGAGGAAGCTGAGCATTTCCGCATCTACAGTGCGGGCCGCCTGGCGGTGCTTGAGCTCCACGTAAAAGATGCTCTGTGCGTCCCTTTGCTTCTGCAGTGCTGACTCCAGCTCGGGACCTCCACTGAGAGGCTGAAGCTGTTGAAAATCTCCGACGAACACCACAAAGGGCGATGGTGCAAGTTCGCCCAATGCCGTGCGCAATTTGCGCCACACCACGGCTTCAATTTGACTTACTTCATCGATCACGATCAGATCGTATTGTCGCAATCGGCCAGGAGGGATATAAGCTTCGTCTGCATGTCGAGTGATGCGAAATGCAGAGTGCACTGTCTCCATGGTGAGGTTGTTCAGGTTAGGCAAGCGAAGACGATACATCGATACCAGAAGTCCGATCGGGCCGGCAATGAGAACTCGGCAGTTGTCTTGCAACGCTTGTCTGATGGCTGCGATGACGACTTCCGTCTTGCCCGCGCCGGGACCTCCTCCAACTTGTAGGATCCTGCAGGAGTTCTCCATGATCGCCGCATCGCTGACGGCAGTTCCGGCCTTGATGTGGTCCAGTACCAGCTGCTGCTCTTCGGACCAAACTCGGCGTGGCACTGCCGAAATTTTCTTGGCACTCCAGAGACCCGGGTCTTCGAAACCGTTCCGGACATCCAGAAGCAGGAGCGTGCACGCATGCATGCGGGCTTTGAAGGTGGCGACGAGATCATCGCCGAGGCCTCGAAGAATTAGATCCTGCTCTATCTGGGACAGGAGTTTGCCGATGTCGGGGTGGAACTCGCTTGGATTTGCGTTGGGCAGCTGGAAATCATCCAAAGAGAGCACTGCCTTCAGATGCTTGCAACCTTCTGGTGCCATGAAAGACGATCTGCGCATGTTCTCGTTGTTGTGACTGGTACCATAGTTGTCTTTGTCCTTGGAGGTGTCCGGAAGGATTCTGTACTCCGGCAGCTCTTTGAGGAATGTGGCCGCCCAGGCACCGATGAAGATGCCCAACAGCTCGAAAGGAAAAGTCATTGCTACACCGCAATCGCAGCTTCTGGCTGGGCCTGCAACGTTTCTTCTGGCTACAGTGTGCTGATTCGCGTCCACCACGCGGTAGCGGCGTAGCCATTCAATGTAGGACAAGCCGTGGGCGCTTCCCAGCCCATCCTTCTGCTCCTTGAGGTAGTACTGGTACACGAGATACTGATCTCGAGAGGAATTTCTGGCGGTGCTGCCGGGGATCGGGGCGTAGATTGCGTGCCCAGAAAAGGAGCGTCGGAGGCCTGCAAATTCCATCAGCATCTCTTGTTCCATAGGAGACTTTTTGCGCCACTTGCTAGTCTCGGTTGGACTGCCCGCATGATGAGCTTGTTCTCGGCTGAACTGCAACGCATCGGAGGCTTTGGAAAAATAGCCGGCTACATATCTCAGAAGATTGTGCGCGCCGTCTCCAACCTGAACATCGGCTCGACTGCTGAACAGCTCCTCGAGAAGCCGCACAAAGGGCGATTTTTTGTCTGCGCCGCTGCGGCCTGTCATGCTTTCGGCGCTGCTGTTCGGCAGCAGATCTGCCCAAAGAACGGCATGCAGGTGCAGCGTTCCTCTCGACTGAAACTCAAATCGGAACGACCATTGTCGAACCTTAGCAATGCCAATTCTCTGCAGGGAGTCGCCGTCCTTGAAGATATGAAACTCCAATAGCGTTTCAAGCGTGTGGTACTGGCGCAAGGTGATTTTCTGCTGTTGGTCCGCGAGGGAACCTCCCTCGAACAATCCTTCGTGTAGAAGATATCGCCATTCTGCCGGAGCTACGGTGAAGAATACTGATGGCAGCGCCGCATCCATGGAGCCGGTTCTTGCAAATTCGAGTCGGCAAATGTCTTCCATTTTGCGGAGTTGCTGATGCCAATACTCTTCGAAGGTGTCCATGTCAGACGCGACTTTCTCCGGGGACATCTTGTTCTGCTGGGCGATGGCTTGCACGGCACTGATCGCGCGCGCCATGCACACGTCGTACAGCAAACACTTGAGTGGAAAGTCTTTGGTGTAATCCACGCATCGGCTTTGCATCTTGCGCATGAAGGAAGCTCTGATGCCGGGTTTGCTTCGAGAAGCGGTCCATCCCAAAGGCAACAATCTTTCCTGGATGTTTGTGTCCGCCATGCTTGGCAGAGGATACAACCACGGCCGCGCGGCAATCTCTATGCCCGACGATCGAAGCAATAGTTCCGCTGCGGGAAGATCTCTGCCGTCTTTTAGCTTGTTCTCTCGTAAAAGAGCTGCATGTCGATGGACCCATGCTCGGTAGGTGTCATTGTTCTGCATCAACCAAGTGAAAGCTCGAGCTGCAAGATCGCCTCGCGGTGCGTCCAGAAGACTGTCTGGATGCCAGCGACATCGTGTTAGCGAGCGCTTCTGCTTGCTGGTGATTTCTGCGTTGCCTCCTCGGCGGCTGCGATAATCCACGTGGATGCGAAGGACTGCCAAGTTTTCAATCTCCACTCGAGGAAGTACTTCTGTTAGCGGTAGGCGACTCTCGCCGATTGTAGAAGCGATCCGTGAGAGGCTTCGGAGTGAAAGTGCTCGAGCTGTTCTGGGCCATGTCAGCAACCGCCTTCAATGCCTTCTCGGCGTCTGTCTCGCTTGAAGCTTCAAGCGTGGGCAATGCCAAGAGTGCTTGCACCCCGGCATTGATGAAGCAAGACGCTCCCAGGTTAGTCAAGCTAGGTCCACGAACGTTCATGGCAACAGCACTACAACAAGATGACTAAGAACCGAAAGCTTCAAGATCTGGCCAGCGACTTCGAACAACTTCGGTCTGCCAAATCGATCTGATAGCATAGCAATCATTCATATTGCAAGGCATGTTGATTCAGTTATTCTTTTTCCCCAGCGCGCACATGCTGCCGTGGAAATTCTGTGCTGAGAACGGTGGAGTTTTGCTGCCTCAGGGCCGGAGCCTGCTGTATGCTAATGCTACATGCAGGAGCATCACAAATGGAATTATTCACCCCTCAGTTGGTTGCCGATCATATGAGTGAGGATCACCTCTCCATCGATGATCATCATCCGCGGCATGCCTTCGGAACAATTCAGGCATCGAAGAGACCGGTAGCATCCGAGGAAGCAGCCCCAGCGCTTTGTGTCTTCTCAGCTGGTTTCTGCGTGCGAGCCTTCACCGCGGCAACGAAGTGGTCCTCCGACATAGGCTTGCACGCCACCGCCGCGCGTGCCACAAGCTCGGCAACATGCCCAGTGTAGAATGTGTTGTTGCCGGACAAAATGAACAGCACGCTTCTCAAGGCACTCTTTTCCTGTGCCAACCAAGCTCGAAAGGTTTTGGCCGCCTGCTCAGGATCAATGGAGGCACGGGATGCGCCTGTCACGGGCGTGCTGGCCGTCATTTTCATGCGCTTGGCGTCGCGGAATGAGCTGGAAGCAGTTGCTGTGGCCGATCCCTTCCCGAAGTTCAAGGCCTCCAGCGTGGGCTCCAGCGCCTTCACCTCTTGCATCACCTTCTCGTACAAGGTTGGAACTATGATCTTCTGCATGTCCGAACTCTTGAGGTTCTTGATGGAGGCTAGGAGTGCAGCAGCAGTTAGACTGATCCCTGCGCCCACATGCCAGGGATCTGACTCCTGCGATGCTGCCAGGTGAGAGTGGTGCGCAGCGCGCTTACTTCCTTTCATTGTTCCAGACCAGACCTGAGCCAAGCTCATGGTGTCTACGGCACTCTCCCCGAAGGGTTCGAGCATGAGGGCTGCCACCGAATCGTAGGGGTACAATTTGGTGCGGCGTTCCTCTTTCGACTGCGGGGTTGCGGCATCATCCGCTGCGCCGAAGAGACCGTCTGCCATGGTTAGTTATGCTACAGCTCTACTAGTGATCCAAGAATGTTTCGAGCACTGCAGAGCAAGAATCGTCGAGGTTTTTGTGAATCTGCAATGGCCGCATTGTTGTGCGGTGCTATCAGAATTGTGCAACAGAAGCCTGCAACATATCTTTTCCAAGGAAGAAGCTTTCTATCTAACCTTCAGACTACACACAAGAAACTAGCCACCCCTCAAACTGCTCCCTGGCGATGCGCGCCTTCCACTGCAGACCGACGCTGACGTGCTCACTCTGCAGCACTTCGCCTTGGCCTTGGTCCTCTGGTCGGCCTGTCCGGGTTGCGACGACGCAGAGCTCGATCTCGACGGTGTTGGTAATCATCTTTTGCGCTCTCGCCCAACATAAGTTTGATTCTAATCAAGGCGTGTTGCAGGGGTTTGCCCTCCAACTTCACGAGAATGCGCGTGAGTCGTTGAGGCATCTGGTCACGCAGCGCACGCATGGAGTCGCCACTGCACAAGTCGCAGCGACCATCTGGTCCAGCATTCGCTGGAAGGCCATTGTTGCCGAAGCAGCAGGGCAACTGGTTGGAGCCGCCACAGAGTCCATGGCCAGCCAGTTCGTCCCAGAGCATATGACAGCCTTTTCTTTTTGCTGTTCTTGATGGATTTGGCGCCGGTGCCTCAGCTTCCTCGCCGCGGGTAGCGACAGGGGGTCTTGCACCACTGAGGGGGCTCCGGCTCGCGTTCCGAGCTAGAGCTGTCTACGTCGATGACCGAGTCTGCCGACGGGCCGGTCGACATGATTCTACAACGAAATTGTATTTAATGCAATGTTTGAAGCAAAATG